GATCTAATTAGGCCTGCTGTGAGCCACGGCCTGGACTATGTGAACTTGGTAGGTCCCTTGCAACCTAAATTATTCCATGATTCTATCCTACCTTAACCTTTGTATGCTAAAAAGCAAATCAACTGTAACTATACATGTATGCATAACTGTGTTTGAACAGACACTAACAGGAAACAAATACAACGAGATGAATATACAATTCATCACTACTGACTTTTCCTTTAATAAGACCTCATACTGTAAAAATGGCTTCCTGAAAACAGGTTAAACACCACATCTTTAAATGTGGTTGAACAGCTTGCCTGCAGGAAAGATACATAATTGAGATTATTATCTTAATTAGTAATAACGGGTGTGCCTAAAGGAAAGCCAAGCAAATACACTCAATGCCTTAAGTCACTGTCATACAAAATTCCATTCATAATTGGAGTTCCAATCTAACTTTCCTTTTGTCTCCCAGCCATGGTGCTCAAAAGTCCCTTCAGACCTTAAATTTGCCTAAAACTTTTCACTAAATCTGAACAATGATTATGTGTATTCTATATGCTGGATTATTTTTTCTTTAAAAAGACTAAATCCCTACTAGCAATGCAGAATTTCCAATCAGCTGGACACCTTCAGAAACAAGAATTTTTTGCAACTTTCAGTAGTCCATGGTCAGATCTGTAAAAATTGAAATGCATTTCTAGGAGTTGTTTCAATATTTCATCTGCAGTGTCTTTAAAGTGGCACCAATGCGTAAAAAAACGTGAAGAATTTACCATTCTTGTTCTCTTCCTACTTTTAGGCAACTCGAATCCTACAGCTTCTGTTACAGAACATTTTTCAGTATTGAAGTACACTTTTTGACTGATACTCAACAAAATCTTTGACAGGAATGTATCTCAATCTTTCCATTAGTCTAGCAGAAAAAAGGACAATCAATAAAACAAATTTCATTTATGGTCAGTTATCTCAAGAAATTCAAGGCATTCCTTTATCCCCTTTCCTATTCAGAGAATGCCTATGTGCACTGTTTTTACATACTTTTGTTTATTGTGTGGTTGCTCATTCATTCATGAGTCCCTGAAGAGATGCATTGTATGTGCATAGGTTCTGAATACCCTTGAAAATAACTGAACAAGTACTTAATGCAAACAGTTCAGTGGTGTAAATTCATGTACAAATACCAAAATAATATTTATTCAAAAACCTGTAAAAATGTCTCTTCTACAAAAAAAATGTTCTATTCCTTTCAACTTAAAAAAAAAAATCACTGCCATGCTATCTTGGGGCAGGTTTGGAAGACAGGTTTCATACATTCTGATTTGGAAATGCGAACTTTCTTGGTTTCTCCATTTCATTTTGTACTTTCCCATGGGGAAAGTTTCTTCTATTTCTTCCTACTCTTCTGTTAATCATGCTTAAGCATCTAATAGAAATATCGATGAAAATCCTCAAATGCTACAAACCATGCTAAATCTGCAAAGCAAATAGGCACTGTGAAAAAAACATCTTAAAGCTATTTTCTGTGAATTGCCTTGCTGAATAAGACTGTGTTGAATGCAAATGCAAGACGAACACTGCAGCAGGAGAAACGAGCACAAGTTCTGTGTATCACTATCACCTGCATACAGCCGAGGTAATGTGCAATACTTTAGGAAAGCCTTTGGAGGATGGGTAACTTCAGGTCAATTTTTCTCTTAAAATATCAGACAGAACATATCCAAATGTGTCTGAGGAACTGGCCAGTGCCACTCCTGGGATTCTCCTTATCATATGTGAAAGGACATGTTGTCTGGGAGAGTCTTTCATGTCTGGAAAATAGTAAATGTCATGCCCATCTTCAAAAAGAGCAAGGAGGAGGATCCAGGGAACCTACTTGATAGTCAGCCTCATTGTAGACCCTGGGAAGGTGACAGAACACATTTTCAGAGAAGCCAATCCCAGGCACTTGAAGGACAAAAAAGTTTTTGGGAACAAACAACACATATTTACCAAAAGGCAAATCATGCCTTACCACAATCTGATTGACTCCTATGATGAGATGATTGATTCTGTGAATAGAGTACTGGATGCCGTTTGCTTTGACCTTAGCAAAGTTTGGACAGTCTTCCACAGCAGACTTGTATCCAAACTGTTGGATCCAAGTGGGAACTGAATGGGTGGACTACAAGGTGGGTAAAAACCACACTGGACCACTAAAATCAGAAAGTAATGGCCACTGTTCCAAAGTGTAGCTGAACTCTAGGTACAGAGTGACATTCCTCAAGGTTTGATGATGTTGATGTTGAAGACCTTCGCAATGATACAAAACATACCCAAAGAAAGTTCACAGATGACACCAAACTGGGGGGAGTTGTTGATACACTGAGGGGTAGGGCAGCCATTCAGAGGGACATTGACAAAATGGAGGAATGGTTTAACAGAAACCTCATGAAGGTCAAAGGTAAAAGCAAAGTCCTGCAATTGAGATGGAAAAATCCCAAACCAAATACAGGCTGGAGGCCAGCTGCTACAGAGCAGCTTTGCAGAAAAGAACCCCAGGGTCCTGGTGGACAACAAATTGAACATGTGAGAGCAGCATGCCCCTGTAGTGTTGAAGGCTAAGCACTTACTGGGCAGCTTTAACAACAGCACAGCCAGCAGATCAGAGGTGAGACTATTTCCTTTTATTAGATACTTGTAAGTCCACATCAAGAGGGTTAACAGGTTAAAGCAAAGGATTTATGAGGAGAGGGTGAGAGAGCTAGGTTTGTTCAGATGGGAAAAGAGAAGGCTATGAATGGTGGTGGGGTATCAAATTGCTGTTTCCAGTTACCTAAAGCAGGGTTAAGAAGAAGAAGAAGTCAGACTGTTCTTGGAGATGTATAGTGAAATGTTGAGAGGCAATGGTTAAAAGCTGTATCAAGCAAAATTCTGAATGGATATAAAGACAAAAACTTGCCAGAGCGAGCGTAGTTAAGCACAGGACAATTACCCATACGGGCAGTGCAACCTTCTTCCTTGGAGATAAAGAAAGATTTGACTAAACAATGCGCTGAAAAGCCTGATCTAGCTTTGACATTAGTGTTCTTTTGAGCAAAAGAATAGTCTCCAGAGGTGTCTTCCAACCTAAATTATGTTTTGATCCTCACAGTGAAGTAATTAGCAGGTGTGAAGTATGAATAGCCACGTGCAGGCTCCAGACTTTGTTCATTGAGATGAAAACAGCAGCATACAATGTGTATTATGTTTCTCTCTGCTGACTAAAGGAGAAACATGAGGATAATAATAAATGTGCATATATTAGAGGGTGGGGTGGCTTCATATAGGCACATGAGATTATAGAACACTGAAGAAAGAACTGGACAAAAAGTAACCAACTATTTGATTTTACATTTTCAGTATAGTAAATGAAGATATAGTTCTATGACTTGTTAAAGAGAAGACAAACACCACCTTGAACCAGAAATACTCCCATTACTCATTACAGGAGACCTCAATAATGCAAGGGAGATATCAATGAAGAACAAATAGGTATCTTGGGATGTAGTCAACAAAAAGCTTTCTGAAATTATGTAGTAAATTGCTTTTAAGTTTGAGCAGTCCACATCAGTCATGCAGCACTTCTGCACAACGCCATCTCAAAATTAAAATTCTTGGCACCCATTCAAATCTTCTGATTCTATCCATTCCACTGAAAATGGGAAAACAGTGCTCCACAAATTATTTGTTGAAGATATTCCCATATATACTTATTTATAAAGTTCATCTCCAAAAGAGGTCCTGTGTCTGCAAAGTATCCAAGAAAGATACACTGCATTTCTTTTCTATGTCGTTCATGTTTCAACATGGTAATGAAACAACGCTCTTTATTTCCCTCTATACTTCGGAAGGGATAAAGGAGGAGGGGATGATGTGATGCCTCGATTAGCAGAATACAACTTCTGGGGTTTTGACAGGGTGAGGAGAGAGAAATATAAATAGTTTGGCCGCTCTAAAGCATTCTCCGCTCCCTCCCAGACTCACATGCGTGCTGAATCTGTGAGATTCAGGAAAGGAAGGAGAAAAGTTTCTCAGCTCTCCCATCAGCTAGATTCTTGGAAAGGAAGAGTTGATTGTGTCTTGCTCTTTAACTCTCTCCCTAACTCTTGTTCTTATTTGTGAAGATTTCTCAATGACTCCAACAACCACTCCAGTGGAATTAGTGCCTTGTCACATATTAAATTGTACTGACTTTAAAAGGTGCTGTCAGCCTGACTAGATTCCTGGTTTTGAAGATAAGAAATACATATTTTTTCTTACAGCAAAGTTTTCACTTTCTTTTCTCCTATCTTTTTTTGTATCAGCCCAGAAGTTTAATAATTTAAACTTACAAGTCTCTCAGCTAGTGACTGGCCTTTAATGCAAACTGAGGTATCAACTTCCAGAAATAAAGAAGAATGACAAATTAAAGAGAGAGTTGCTGAACACTGTAAATTTCCTGAAAAAAATGAGAGATTAATTGTTCAGAAGATGAAGGACCCTTCAACGATGTACCCATCACCATTCTTACTGAAGAAGTATGAGAATATTCAGAGGTGAATTGAATCTTAGGGACGTGAGTGAAGATGGTTAATGTGAGTAGTGGTTACTAGGCACAGCAAAAATTTTATAATTTACTGGCTTTAGTGAAGCACACAGTGTAGTATATGAACTCATAAGAAGATGCCAAAGCTTCAATAAAAGTTAAAATTAAATGCCAAACAACCTCAAAAACCTACTTAAAAATTGATTTCTTTCATCGTTTATGTAAGATGATTCTCCTTGTACATAAGATGTTGCAGAACCATCTTAGTCTAATTTACTGCATAATATTCTTTTTAAAATAGCACATCCTATTGTTAGAACAACATTAGAATGCATTTTAAAGCTGACCAAACAAATACTAATAATACAGTTATTTCACTTACCTATATATTATTATCTAAATGATGCAAACACTTGATCAGAGCTACAGTACTCTAAAAAAACCAGCTGCAAACCAGGGAAAAACCTACCTCAGCAGTGCTACTGCAAGGTTCCAGTCCAACCATATTGGCTTGTACCAGCTGCTCAAGAAGTTGTACTTGAGCCACATTGAGAAAGAAATCCAGGTTTGTTGTCACATTCACTTCCAAAGAATGACCACACACCAAAATTTCCTGTGGAGAAATTAAGGGAAAATACCAGATAACAACTACCGGGGAAATAATTTTCAGCTTCTATATAACTGTATTATGATTCTCTGCTGTAGTCAATGCTTCAACATTGTATGTAGCATTAATTAGATCTTTTTAGGAGAAAGTGGTGTCTCAGGCTTCTAAAGAGGGATGCAGCTTATTCTTTGCTTTGCTTTCAACAGCATAACTATTAAGACAAATTTTGCAAGAAAAGCATCTTGTGTGTGAGGTCTTGTTTCTATCTCTTGGTAGTATCAAACAGTGGACTGTCAGATTTTGGTTTTTATTTCCTGGCAATGACTACAATTCTCCTTTCCTTCCAAGAAAAGGATGTAGTTTGTTTGTTTGTTTTTTTTTTTTAAACAAACTCTGCGTGATTTAGAATGAAATCACGTGTTGGAACTCACTGATAACCAACCTAATTGATTTCTCTTTGCCTGTAAACTATTGTCAATACCTTGGTAAAGCTAGCTGGATGGCCACTGTTTTATTGGTGTTGTCTAGCACAAAAAAAGCTCTTCACCATTGTTGCCATGCGATAAAGAGATGAAAACCAGAACCAATGCAGAAGGGTTGCTTAATAAGTAGAAGTACTGCCCCTTCTCATGAGAAGGTTGCACAATGTTCAAGCTCTTCACAATCTAAGCTAGACCTCTCCCTTCATCAGTGAATGTCACCCAGGGAATAGAAAACAAGAAGAATGTATGCACAGAAAACACTGAAATTCTTGAACCTAAGCATTAGTAAAGCTCAGTGATTTTTTTTTAATTGAATAACTTCTATGCATCCTAGCCACCCCCAAGCTTTCTACCTCTTTTTTACATCAAATAATTTTCCACCTGCCCTTGTGATGATGCTTTACACAAAATATGAAGGTGTCCATTTTTTCTTTCTATACCCATTAGCTATTATTTTCCAACAATGTACACCTATTGCACATTGCAATACACACCTAATACCCTTTACACTCCTGTACCAGTTTTGTTCTTCCCAGGAGGTAGCTGTTATGAGAAATACTCCTTGTGAGCCGACAAAAACTTTCTGATATTTCCCCTACATAAAATATTTTAAATTCTTGAGCTACAAGCTAATGCCAAAAAAGGAGTCAATACCTTTTGTGTATAACATTCTTCACAGACTAATTAACAAGCTGACCCACAGACTGGTAAAAGTGATTGTTAAATCTGGAATACCTTGAAGTACCCACAGTAATGGCTGGAGAGCGGATGCTTTGTGGAAATTTGTGGGCTTGAAAATCTGGCTAAAAAAAACTTGGCTCAACTTTCTTCTTACAGATAATGTATAGGTTGCATTTTCAGGCTCCTTTATGAGAAGCCTGGAATACAATGTTTTGTAATGTTTTACTATAGCACCTCTTCTCAACACCTTTCCATCACAAATTTTTAAAAATATTGCTGGAAATCATTAAAGGATTCCCATTTTCTGAATTGCAAACAGGCTTATCTACTTCTGGACAGGCTGCCTTTAATATCGAATGCTATACACAAATTGTTTCTCCAGCAGAGAAAGAACATTTCAGCTAGTGATTACAACTTTTTTCTTTTTTCCTTCAGTTGGCGATCTCTGTATTTGAAAACACCTGGACACTTAAAATGGTGGAACAGTAAAATATTAAGATTATCCATATATTAAAAGTTATGCTATTTCCGTTCACATTTTGTACTAACCTCTGGGTGTAAATTCTCTGCAGCATCAATTTTTGTAAAAATAATTGCAGGAGCTGCAGTTATTCGAACCGTGAAATCTGTTAAAATTGGAGTTAAAATTGCTCTCCTCTCCTGATGCCGCCTTATGCTAAAAAAGAAAAAAAAAAAAGGAAAAAAAGGAAAAGATTAAATCACATTATAAATTGTTGAGGGGCAAACACTCGTATTCTTCTTTACATCCAGCATGTAGCACAAACCTGCTTCAATACCAGTTTGGCATTTGATTGCTACCTCAATAAGCATTAAATATCATCATTATAAATCATGTTAATTACGATCCTAAAGGCAGACTTCTACCTTCATTTCACAGAAAAAGTATGTCTAAATATTTGACTCTTCAACCCATCTCCAGGTAGACCAGTTTGGCATTTGACATTGCTTCTTCTACTGTTTAACCAACTATAAAAAATTATTTGAACAAAGATACAAACTTTATTATCAGTATTTTTCAAAGTTGCCTGCGGATGCCCTTCACTTTATGAGTAGCTGTCCTGAAGACTGCATAATATTTGAATCCATGCATTAAAACTCTGTGGTGAAAAAAAATCTGCACACAACAACATAACTGACAAAAAAATCAAAGGCATGAAAAATTAAGCTAGCAAACCCCATGAAACTCTAGGGCTCGCACATTAAATTTATAATAACTATTGCCCAAGATGTTTACAACGCCTTGAAAATGGAGGGATGTCAGTCTTCCTCCACTGCTTCTGTCATTGGTTGCTCTTAGTTGGTACCTTTTCATATAAATATCAACGTCCGCTTGCCAAGAATATTTGTGCCATTAAGCTTGATAATTACATTTGTTTTCCAGCTGGGTGTTTGTTTTTTTTTCCCTTTAACCAAATACTAAGCCTAGAGGCACAACCCTGTTATAGATGGATCACTAATAGCTTATGACAACACATTCCAAATAGCCAGAATCTTCTGGGTCAGGTCAAATAAACTATTGCCACAAAATGCCATATGAGAGCCTCTGATCAGGGGGGGGAAAAAAAAAATGTAATGAGATCAAGATGGTGCTCAGCCCCTAAAAGAGGATACAGTTCAAATTCCTGTGAGAACCCTTCCATCAAGATAGTTTTTTGATAATTCTTTTTACCTATCATCATTTATAGAAATGCTAAATACCTGCATTTCATCAAGGAGAACTCTAAAAATCATCAAAAAGTTATTGGTCCAAGGTAAGTTTTCCTATACTTACAAAATAGAAAATTATCAACTGTGAAACAGTGCAAGTATGCACTAAATTATGCAACTATCTATCGCGATATAAAAGAAAAGACTGAACTACACTGCCATATAGAAAAGAAGAATAGATCTATGCAGGACTCTTCAGATATATTTGTATGTCGGTCAGGTATCCCTGTATTACCTTTAATCTCGCCATCTCCAGTAATTGAGACACAGCAGTTCGGACATCAGCATAAATCACAGAAGTGAGCCAGACACATGAACAATGCAATTAGACAATTAGTCCTTACCATCAGCTAGAGTTATTCATGCTAATGTCATTAAACAATATGGTTATATGCCTGTCTATGCAGAAACCTCTGGACTGCGTGTGGAACAGGTAATTAAATCTCTTGATTAAGAACAGGTATCGATATACATAGTCTAGTAAAGGTAATCGTTCTGAAATGGATTCTGTTGAAAAGTACACAATCTCAAATGCTGATGGTTTGTAAGCCAAGAGTTAGGCCAAAAAGAAATTAAACAGATATCATAACTTGACTGTAATTCAGTCAAGTTGCAAAGATTCAAAATCCATAGATGAAAATTTACTACTTAGACTATTTCGATATTGATGCTTCAAATTCTACTAACAATTTGCTTAAGTGTCCTCAAAACATGTAGAAAGCATGGCGATCTATAAGGGAATATAAACTGTCAGATGCGGGTAGGCCTTAAAGCTTTTAACTTCTGTATACCATTATCCTAAATAAATTTAACAGCAGATGCTACAGAGCTAGTATTTACTGAGCACAAGTCTAATATACTTTTGTTTCAAATGACCTTCACAAACACTGCTGAGCAGGCTGCACGCTACTGTAAGTAGTATGCAGCATGCTTAAGAGCAAGGCAATCAGTGAGTGTCACAAAACTACCACTTTACCTTAAAAGCTTTAAAATTTTCATCAGCTGTAGCTCTGCTGGTCTGTAATGATGGTTTTTAAAGCAAGATTAGTCTAATTAGATCCCCAAATTAGAAAGCAGACCCATTAGTAGTTAGCATACATCTTCAACTGAGAAAGTGGTCTTAGATTTTGCCAGTTCTACAAATGCTTCTCTCCCTGCCATCACCTTCCTTTTAAATTTAAACCAGACGGCTTTCTACCCAATTCCTATTTCCCCTTCACAAAAGGATGAGAAAGAAATGCCTTTGTTTTTGAGGAAAATGAAAGAGCTAAGTAGTAGAACAATCCTATGAAAGAACACACAGCTATACATTAGAAAACTTCCACTTGAAGGGGCATAAAACTGCTGGTAAGTATGATTTCAATATATGAAACAGAGCTATAAAAGCAAGTTATTTGTTGAACTCCAAACCCAGAACTGGTTCTCTTCAATCATTGTTCAAATTATTTTTCAGCTTATACATATTCCCATTTCTTAATTTTCAAATGTTATTCTAGTAGATACCCAGTACACTGCATCTTAAAGGACTTTTTTGGTAATACAGATTGATTGCTGATTTTTTAAATTTTATTTTAAAATCATCCTTATGTGGTAGCCCTGTCCTGCTCTACTGACTACTTTCCACATTTTTAGTTGGTGAATTTGAAGCTCAGCCAAATCAAGTATCAGCAAAATAATTGTAAGTACAAACAGAAGGCAAACAGAGCACAGTAAATAACGAAGGGAGAGGATATGAGAAAGAGCACAAAAGGAACAAAGAAACAAATTCCACTTTGAATTATTAAGTCTTCCACACTGCACCTAAGTGCACCGTTAACTTAACACAGGTGTACGCCACATGAGCTTATGAAAAAACTTGATTGTGAAGAGTGTAATGATGGCTCTATGTCTGCAGCACATTCATTCCATGGTTCATTTATGCATCTGTTATGTATTTGTCTTGGAAAAAAAAGGAAAAGCTAGTACTTTTAGAGATGTTAAAGCAGTTGATCATCTACACTTAAAAGTACAGCACATTTGAAAGACCATATGCTAACACAAAGCAAAAAGGCAGCAAAGCATTTGTGATAAGGCCTGGAGGTGCCTTTTACTCAGTGCTGAATTTGGGCTATATCTGCACGGTAACATGAACTCTGGTTACAGACCACAGATCCATATTGTAAAAGCACAGGACAAAAAACAGTCTCTGTCCTCAAAGGCTTACAATTTAAGTATAAGAAAAAACACACCTGCAGACAGGGAAGTAAAAGGGAACAACTAACAGCACCATAGGTAATAATATCCGTACAGTGGCAACCTGAAAGCTGTCTTACTAGTTTTTATATTACAGTGTAACAGAAACAAATTTTTTTGGAAGGATTTGGAAGAAGACATTGCAATAACTTTGTGAATGTTCACAGGAGATGCCTTTATAACATACAGGTTATAAAGGAGCGAGCAAGAAAGTGCTTCTTCAAAAACTAAATGCGGCGGCCCTGGTAACTGGTACGATGAGGTCTGATGAGCAGTAAGTGTAGATGTGTCAAAGTAAATGAAAGAAGACGCATAATAGGAAATGGATAGACACAGAAGTCTAGAAGTACCTTGAAAGCAAAGACATAGCTAATGATTAATATGACAAAAAATGTTGTGGGAAGAAAAGAGAAAAAAATGTGAAGAACACAATTTTGTAATCAAAGCAACAACATTTAATTACATCAAATCAAATCATCAGTATTTGATTACACCCACTCAGAAGCACGTTGAATTTATATAAGGACGAAGGACTGCCAAAGAGATGATGTTGCACTAATCAAGGAGGTGCGATGATGCGAGACTGGATAAGCTGTGAAAATGCACAAGAAGGACTATAACTTGGCTGCCTTATGTGGAAAAAACTAATCGAAACAAACAGAAAATACTGGCCAGTAAGAGCTAAACATAACCTAGATGTGAAACTTGGAAATGTTTGCCTTATTCTTAATTATAATTTTTTTCTTAATAATACCTTACTGAATGTAGAGTTTGAGCCCTTACATACTGAAAAAATACGTAGGTCAGGGAGAAACTCATATACATTCCATACATGAATGACAATCAAGAGCTCGTTTATGCCATGTAAGTTTACTATCTACAGAGAGATGAATCCTCACAAAGAATTCTGCGACTTGAAAAAGCAAAAAACCAAGTATTAGCATGGATTAGGCCACATAATCAAATAGTGTTCTCTAGTAGTGTGAGGCACGCAAAACCAAAGATATTATGTTGGTTAGCATGCTAACTTAGGACTTATGAAAGATTTTTCTCTTGCAGGTTTCCCATGTAGTTGTATAAATCAGTTAATCCTTGATCCACAAATGTATTAGAATATCTAACTGCTAATGACATCATCATGCCTCAGACCTCCATCTCCCGGGGGCAGAACAGTTCACATCCTTTCAGCTCTCTGAGGTGTTGCAAAGACACATCGCATGACAGTGAAATAGCATAGCAAGATTTTGAGGACTATCTAATGACCAAAATTAGACAATGAACAAACGTACACCATATAGCTGTACAGAATGACTACTGTTATATACTTATGCCTCAGTAAAGCTAACTTTCATCTTACTAAGAATGCTGTGCAACATTTCTTTGCTGTGGATTAATAAAGAAAATAACATACTCCATCTTATTGAGTAAGGCTTTGTACAGTGTGATTACAAGCATGACTTCAGGTACAATAAACACAGCAACTGAAATACAGGACTGGATACAAATGTACTGCATTTTATTCCAAAAGATTCA